TTACTTCTTTCTTGAAGTCTAAAGTTTGCTATAATTGTTAAATAAATCTTCACAAATTATAAATATGAAACAACACGAAAATAAGCTAAAAAAGATCCAGAACAAAATACAAAGAAAAATGACCGCTTTCATCTCGAAATCCCTGCAGATATAAGATGAAGCTTGAATTTGACAACTTCAGAGATTATCTCTCCTGAAGTATCGATTAATACACCAATCACTCAATCTTCACATTTGAAGTTTACTTACACTCAATCTCCATCTTCGAAGACTACTTCCATTTCTTTTAGCACTACGCCAATCACTCAATCTCCATCTTCGAAGACTACTTCCATTTCTTCCAGCACTACGCCAATCACTCAATCTCCGTCTTTGAAGACTACTTTCATTTCTTCTAGCACTATGCCAATCATTTATTCAGGCCCAATCCCAATTCAAAACATTCATTTACCGACTAAGTATTTACACATGAATCGTGAAACATCCGCTCAAGAATCATCATCTTGAGAAACATCCACCCGAGATTCAGCATGAAGTTCAAAAGATTATGGCAATTGGTGTATTGTTGTATTGTTTTATTTATTTTATTTGAAATATTTACATTCTAATGATATTACTACATTTACGATCATTTTTAGACTTTAAAGCTGAAAATAAGAAATTAAAGGCTCAGAATGACGAGCTTCGACATCAAATAGATGAGCTTAATGATAAATTCCAAATGATTTCCTCGAAATATAAAAGTTTACAAGAAAGTAACGAACTATTAATAGAAATCAATCAAGAATTCGGCCGCGAAAATGATCAACTTCAAGCAGATCTTAAAGAGTATCAATCATTTGAATTACCAAAAATCCTAAATCGATCATCAGATGATGAAATTCAAACAAATAAGCATAAATCAAAACAAGCTAGAAAATCTAAACGAAAGGTAAGGAGCGGTTCGGAAAAACATTACATCAGGCTGAAAGGTAAGCAATATAAAAGTATTTCGAAAGGTAAACACTCTAAGAAATCGAAAGACATGCGATACAAGAACAGTTCGAGCAGTCCAGAAGATAGTTCAAATGAAAGTTCTGAAGCTGAAAGAAGTTCACACGACAAGAGAGATAAAAAATGGGCGAAAAATATACCAGGGTTTGTCTAATTTTCTTAGACGATTATATATTTTATGGTGTTGCCGATACTCATCAAATTTCTGTTTTTCTTGTTTTTTTTGTAAATAATTTAGGCAGGGATGAAAACTATATTAAAGACTCTTCCACCCGAACTCGATATGAATTACGAAGAAACGTTCAATAGCCTAGCGAATGTCGAAATTCGAAAAAGACTAATTCCTGAATTAGTAAAGTCGTTAAAGCTGAAACATCGTGCTTCGTCAGACCAAATTAGCAATTGGTTACAATCATTACATAGATTCCAAAGAAGCTGAAATAACTATAGAAATAAGGGACGAATCGACAGTGATAATCGACGCTTACATGCCAATGGTCGTTTAAGTGAGGTATGATTTATTGCTTAAATTTTATATA